TGAAGTGTGTAGTCTGGAGGTGCCGGGTTGAGTGTCTTGGGCGCTGGGTGAGTCCGTAGAAGACTTCTTGCCCTTGTTGTCCATGACTTGTAATCGATGAAGCTTTTGATGTGCTGACTGTAGGTAGAATGTTGTCGATGGGAGTTGGGTCTTTGACCAGCTCTCATACCATATTGGGCTGAGAAAAGCCCTTAGGATCTCTTCAGAGACCAAGTCCCACTTGTATGAAACGCTTGAGTAGTGCAGCGGAAGTGTTGAGTAGTTGAACCCTTGCACTAGTATGTGAGAGCAAGTGATTGAGTAAAAGAAACAAGCATACAGCAATATATAGAAAGTAGGAAATAGAGCAGTTGTAGAATACAGTTGAAGGAACGGTTATCGAGTCGCACAGCGACTCGTTCGTCGGTTCGGTTACCACCCTTGCGATCGTAACGGTCAGTCGCAACCTCCGGTTGCGACCCTTTGAGTCCTTTCATCCTTTCGTGTTCTTTCGTCCAACCTCCTCGTGTAACCTCCGTTGACTCGCGTACTCGATACGACTTTCCTCGAGTGTAGTGTTACACTTCATAAACGCTTACAAGCACTCGAGGTATTTCCAACACGCTGCACAACTCAAGCATCTTGTACAAGTGGGACTTAGAGCGTGTTCCTACCAGCCAGGCCCCCAAATTGCAGACTTTTTACTCTGATTCAGACTTTTTTCAGACTTTTTTTGGGGGTGTACTCTGATCCCAAAGACCTTTTTTTCTATGTTACTCTGATTTTTCAATGAAGTTTTATGTACCTACACTTATTTTTCAGACTTCTTTTACAAGTGTACTCTGATGCTTCATCCTTGTATGGGGGGGGGACTCTGATTCCTGTAATACCGTCATTTTAGGGGGGGTTGCGAGATTTGCGCTGGTACCTCTGTCGTCACCGTCAATCACGCCAGATTTACATTTGCGCTGGCGCGGCCCGAGCCGTCGGGCGGGCAAAATTTGTACGATGGCGCCAGCACAGAGATAGCCTGAGCAGCCGGTTGGTCCTTGACCAAAACATGGTTGTTTTCGCCAATCCAGACGCATTTTGTTGGGTGAGGCACAGCAGACGAGGCACCGCACCCATGCTGACGCGCCGAGTGCCTGGTTCATTCATGCATGGACAGCATCTCGCGCGCCGCGATGGAGTTGCAGCTGGCAGACCCCCTCCTTCTCCATCACTTCATTACTGACGGGGAAAACGACCCTGCTTCTCCCCCCTCCAGCAAAACTTCACCCCAGCTCCGTGTAGCCCCTCGGTTTTCTTTCAGTGCGTTTGTTTTCCCACCGCGCCTGCAGGCCATGGAGTAGGCCGACCTCGATGAGGACGAAGACGAGGCAGATTATCACAAAGAAGAAGAAGAGTACTGGTGTGCCGAGAATTTCCGTGATGGTCCCGCCGCACTAAATTTCCTGCGGCAGTCGGATGCCTCAGATCGTAGCCCTCAGAGGAAGCCTAGTGACGCTACCCCTGCTGATGGCGATGCGCCTGTTCCCAACGCAGCGGGCAAGAAGTCTGCGGATGCAAGCCCCCTGCCCGCTGCTTCAGCTCCTGTCGCCGGCACCACGCCGTCGGTGACGGCGGCGAAGAGGTTCCGGTACAGGCAGGTGATTCTGCTGTACGCCTCCACGTCGACATGCCAGGATCCGCCTGAGCCTGTGCCGAGCCCCTTTGTACCTGCGGATACGCCAGAATCGTCTGGCGGTAGGTCCACTGCTAGAACGAACGAGGACATCTATGCTGAGGCACAAGAGCGTTTCAAATCTCGCTGGTCTGACAGATTCCCTTGGTTCATGCTCTTGAAAACTGACGATGGGCTCCCGGCCTTCAAGTGCAGTGTATGGGCATTGCATGCAGGACCCGCAGGGTGTACCGGCAAATCGGGCAAGGGAGCAACGTACGTGCAGACCCAGTTGTTCAAGAAGCACGCCGGGACGCAGAAGCATCGCCTCGCCATGTCCAAGCAGGACGATCTCCTGCAGCTGGCGTCGAACCAGCAGCGGATCGATAAGTATCCTCGCACGGCCGACAAAGAGAAGGAGCGAGTCATCGCGCTGCTCGACTCCCTCTACTTCTGCGCCAAGTGTAACGAACCGATGGAAACATGGATTCGTTTGGTGCGATACCTCTCATCGCGCAGTTTCAAGGGCTTCCCGAAGTTTGCCTACGGCACGTACTATAACTGGTGAGAACTCCAGTGACTATGAACTTCTCTCTGTCTCGTCTTTACATATGTAACGTACAACAACTTGGCTTGTGCGTGTCATGTAACAGGTACGGCTTCAGCGAGCTGACACAAGCGACGGCAACGTGGCTGCAGACGACTCAACTCCAACACCTGCTGGGGAGTCCCTACATTGGCCTGAGCCTCGACGAAAGCACATGATAGTGTTTGCCACGTTCATCCGGGAAGGGCGGCTTGTAACCGAGTACCTGGCTCTGTTGACAGTGGAGAAGGCGGATGCGGCATCGCTTCTTGCCCTCTTGTTGTCCCATCTGCAGGTGATTGGCGTCGACCTCGGCCGCATCTCTGGCATAAGCACTGACGGCGCTGCCGTCATGATGGGATCGTGCTCTGGACTTGTGGCCCGCCTTCATCTTCGCGTTCCGCACCTTGTCTCTTGCCATTGCATTGCCCATCGGTTCGTCATCCGTTTGCTGTCGGCATGTCATGTATATTTGCTTCTTGTTTTGTTTATAATTCCAATCCCTAATTTGCTTCCTAGTTTGCATCTCATCTCCTTATCCCATTGCAGAGAGGCGCTGGCGGCAAAGGCTGCCGCCGAGGAGATCCCTGTCTTCAGTATGGTGGACAACATCATTTGCGAGATCGCTGAGCTGCTCGGTCGTTCCAACCCTTGGCATCAATGGTTCCTGGAGCTCCAGGAGGTGTTCATGTCGACGAACCTCGAGCTCCAGGGCATCCACAACATCCGCTGGCTGTCGCGTGGAGATGCGGTCATCCGCCTGGTCGAGGTCCTACCAGCCATCGTGGTCATGCTGCAGGAGTACGACGCCAAGCTGTACGCGCTCGTCACCAGTTACCGCTTCTGGCTCCTCCTGATGTTCCTCACCGACGTGCTGGAGCTGCTGAACGTCCTCAACAAGGTCTTCCAGCAGCGGGAGGTAAATATGTTAAATGCTTGTGTTTGCATGCATGTCGATGTTGCTTGTCCCTGCCGCTCGTCCCTTAATCACACATCGGTCTGTGATGCCCTACCTCTCCTCGCCCCCCTACCCACCAGCTGGATTACACAACGGTGCACGCGCAGATCATCCGCAGGACCTCGCTGCTAGAGAGCCGCTACGTGGACTGCGGAGACGACTTCACCGGCGGGCCCAACGATCGATTGACGCGGTTCCTCGCCAAGCACGGGCCCGGCAAGTCCAAGCTGGTGACAGTGGAGGGGATTGACTCCGATGGCCGACCTTCACGGTTCACCTTCGAGCTGCACGAAGAGCCCCAAGAGGACTACCCGGGGCCCAGCGACCACGATGGGAGTGTCGTGGCGTGCATGGCTCTAGCGGAGGGCTTGGTCCGCAACCTCGACGAGCGCCTAGGCGATCTGCGGCAGCTGTCGGGAGCGCGCCTGTTCAGCGCCGACACATGGCCGCCCAACTGGGACCGACAGGCACGGAGGACGCAGTGCCTCGAGTGGTTCAATTTGCTCGTGGTCATCTACTGCGCTGAAGACAGGGACGAGATTCTGCCAGGTGAATCACCATCTACTCCTTTCAGTATCCCTTTGGCAATGTATCTGAAACAAGACGCATATCTTTTCCTGAACCCGGTGTACTGTTTCCGATAACCCAACCCTTCTCCCTCTCCTTGTGTGCCCTTGTCTGAGCAGGTATAGACAAGCGCAAAGCCCAGAGCGAGCTCCGCAACTTCGTCCCCGTCCTTGCTGCGCTTCCCAAGGCGGACAAGTCATTCCACGCGGGGCTGAGCGCCATGCTCAAGACGCAGGACTGGAGGGACAGCTACCCCAACCTGGTCAACCTGTGGGTCGCGGTGGCTGTCCTTCCGTTGAGCACTGTCGAGTGCGAGCGCAGGTTCTCCCGCCAGAACGTCATCAAGAGTTGGCTGCGGGGGGCTCTCAAGGATACTAGGCTAGGAGATCTGATGTGCATGTCGCAGCTAGAGTATGACCCCGACTGGGAAGAGGTGGTCACCATCTGGCGGGCTTATAAGAAGAGGAAGCCCCTTAGCAACGCCCTGCCCGAGGCTAGTAGCAACAGGAAGGGAAAGGAGAAAGTAGATGATGATATTCCGGCAGCGCCTCAGCAGGATGTGCAGGATATTGACTAATACGGTGTATGTATTGAAATGTAGTGCATTCTCTAATGAAGAATCATAAAAAGCGCTCATACAAAAGTTTGGCTATGACTCTGATTGGTCAGACAAAAAATCGAAGGCTACTCTGATTTTTCAGACTTTTTCCAGGAGGTAACTCTGACACCCATACCAAGGGAAGGCAGTGGACTCTGACGAATCAGACAGGCCCAAAACCAATTTGGGGGCCTGCTACCAGCCTCTTCCCAGGCAACCTCTTCCCAAAACCTTCTTGGGCCGATGTTCACGAACTCAAGCGCCCCTTCCCAGTGACGTACGAAAACTGTTGCTCCCCACTTTTGGTCACGAATCATGTCGCCTGCATGCCACGTAGTCCGCTTGTAATCGCACGGATTTCGAAAACAGACGATTTGCGGGCCCACGTCTCGGTTAGCCGCTCACAAATCCGCAGTCGCATGCGCTGACGACAGCCACGTACACACGCATTTCGCCGCGTGCCTACCAAGCGGACAACTCACGAATCGACCGTCCTTGGGTTGTGAGCGCTGGTCTGCAATTCGAACCGTCGCATTCGTTTGTGTGGTTTTTGATTGGTCGGCACAAACCGTGGAATCAAGTTTGAACGAAACGCACTTGTTTGAAGAGCAGCTCAACAACATTTCACATCTAGTCGCACAGGTGCCTAGTCACCCTTTGTACTGTGTCGCGTGCATCCCAAGCCGACAACTTTGTCTGGGAAGAGGTTGGGCTTGGCTTCGGCGGGATTCAGGCGAGATGTGCTAGTTTGGGAAGAGGTTGCCTGGGAAGAGGCTGGTAGGAACACGCTCTTAGTCTCTAAGAGATCCTAAGGGTTTTTCTCAGCCCAATACTATTAAGGGCGGAGAGCCAAAGATATTATAGAAAGCAGTATAACAAGCAATAAGAGAGCACCGAGGAGTGCAGGGGCGCAGGCAGGAGATGGTCACTGAACAGAGCACCCCTCCCCTAGTGACCACCTCGGCGCCAGCACCAGCACTGGAGCACTGGGCAATAACGAGATTGCAGGTTGCAGAATTTATTTCAGATAACTCCAAGAGTCGGACGAATTAAGAGGGGGCGCCAAGGAAGGCAGCGAGGCGCAGCAGGTCGCTGAACACGCCGCCCGCAGTGACCTCAGCGCCCGCACCGGGCCCGCGCACAATGAGGGGCTGCACGTTGTAGCGGTAGGTGACGAAGGAGATGATGTTGTCCGACCCCACGAGCTGTGTGAAGGCATGGGTGCGGGGGTACTGGCGCAGCTCCACCCGGCCCTCCCTCTTGTCCATGTCCACCACTCCCACATATCGAAGGACCTGCGGGGAGATGGCATGGGAAAAAGGGAGAGGGGTGAGGCAGACCAAGGAGATGAAGCTGCGTGAATGCGTGCGAGCGTAGGTACTGCCTCAGCTCTATGCGGCCTTCCCTCTTGTCCAAGTCCACAACTCCCACATAGCAGAGGACGTGCAGGGAAGGGAATGGGAAGGCAAGCCGTGTTGTCTCCCAAGCTCCAGGGACCATGAAAGAGCTCTCACACACCCGTACCAACAGACAACAGGCATTTGCATGAGCAGCTCACGCTAAAACATTCCACGTCCGCACACTCACCTCGCATGTCTCTTCCACATCTCACGAGCATTAGCATGAGCAGCTAGCCCTATAGCCTACCCAGTAAACCCAGGCAGCTCACCTCGCCCTTCTCCTCGGCCGCCTTTCTCTTGGCCTCCATCTCGTGGTCAAACTCCGGCAGCCGCTGCATGAACTCGTCCACGCTCGCCACGTGCTGCACGGACGGGCGGGGTGTGGGGTGAAGCGGGTGCGGGTAGAGGGGAAGGGAAAAGTGAGAGGGTGGTGGGGGTGAGGCAGCATCAAATCGAGTAGCCGCTGCATGGACCCGCCCACGCTCGCCACGTGCTTTGAGGGGGTGGGGGGGATGGGGGGGCGGGAGCAAGGGGGGTTTGAATGGAGGTGAGTTTGGAGCCTGAGTCTGCTGCTCAAATCGTCACTCAGGCAGTCGCTGCATGAACTCATCCGCACTCGCCAAATGCTGGAGGGGGGAAGGAGAGGGGGGGGGGTTTGGTAGAAGGGGGTAGGGATGAGGAGGTTGCACGTGGATGCATGGATGCATGTGGATGCAAGGGTGCATGAAGAGACCAACTACCGTACCTAAAATGCCTCGTTACCGTACCTGAAGATCCTCGGGGACAAGGCTTTGCACAGGCACTTGGTCGAGCTCGAGCCGGAGACCGCACTCACGACCCAAGATGACCACCTGCGATTCACAGGAGGAGCGGGGGATGGGAGGGGAAAAAAGGTTTACTAGTGGCTCAACATGCATGCACCTGACCATGCACCTGGCCATGCACCTACCCATGCGCCTACCCATGCACCTAACCATGCCCCTACCCGCGCTCACAAACCCCCTTTCAAATGGGCTCCGTGAGCCCATCAGTGGGTCCGTGAGTCCGCTGGGCCCTAAGCCCACCTGTGGCTCATGGAGCCCATCCGTGCCTTTTTATGCAACATCCACGTTCCTTCCATCCCTCTCCCTTGATTTTGCAGGGTGTTTTTGAGAATTCTCAAAAACTTCCTTCCATCCCTCTCCCCATCAGAAAAATCCATCAGTGTGCAAGCGTCTCTCGCATCTTCCTGTCATGCAACGCTACCCCTTCCCAGTGATCCCTAACCTCAGGCTCTGTGCGCTCAAGGTGAGAAGCTAGAGAGGCTCTGTGTGCTCAAGGTGAGAAGCTAGAGAGGCTCTGTGCGCTCAAGGTGAGAAGCTAGAGAGGCTCTGTGTGCTCAAGGTGAGAAGCTAGAGAGGCTCTGTGCGCTCAAGGTGAGAAGCTAGAGAGGCTCTGTGCGCTCAAGGTGAGAAGCTAGAAAGGCTCTGTGCGCTCAAGGTGAGAAGCTAGAGAGGCTCTGTGCGCTCAAGGTGAGAAGCTAGAGAGGCTCTGTGCGCTCAAGGTGAGAAGCTAGAGAGGCTCTGTGCGCTCAAGGTGAGAAGCTAGAGAGGCTCTGTGTGCTCAAGGTGAGAAGCTAGAGAGGCTCTGTGTGCTCAATGTGAGAAGCTAGAGAGGCTCTGTGTGCTCAAGGTGAGAAGCTAGAGAGGCTCTGTGTGCTCAAGGTGAGAAGCTAGAGAGGCTCTGTGTGCTCAAGGTGAGAAGCTAGAGAGGCTCTGTGTGCTCAAGGTGAGAAGCTAGAGAGGCTCTGTGCGCTCAAGGTGAGAAGCTAGAGAGGCTCTGTGCGCTCAAGGTGAGAAGCTAGAGAGGCTCTGTGCGCTCAAGGTGAGAAGCTAGAGAGGCTCTGTGCGCTCAAGGTGAGAAGCTAGAGAGGCTCTGTGCGCTCAAGGTGAGAAGCTAGAGAGGCTCTGTGCGCTCAAGGTGAGAAGCTAGAGAGGCTCTGTGCGCTCAAGGTGAGAAGCTAGAGAGGCTCTGTGCGCTCAAGGTGAGAAGCTAGAAAGGCTCTGTGCGCTCAAGGTGAGAAGCTAGAGAGGCTCTGTGCGCTCAAGGTGAGAAGCTAGAGAGGCTCTGTGCGCTCAAGGTGAGAAGCTAGAGAGGCTCTGTGCGCTCAAGGTGAGAAGCTAGAGAGGCTCTGTGTGCTCAAGGTGAGAAGCTAGAGAGGCTCTGTGTGCTCACGGTGAGAAGCTAGAGAGGCTCTGTGCGCTCAAGGTGAGAAGCTAGAGAGGCTCTGTGCGCTCAAGGTGAGAAGCTAGAGAGGCTCTGTGCGCTCAAGGTGAGAAGCTAGAGAGGCTCTGTGCGCTCAAGGTGAGAAGCTAGAAAGGCTCTGTGCGCTCAAGGTGAGAAGCTAGAGAGGCTCTGTGCGCTCAAGGTGAGAAGCTAGAGAGGCTCTGTGCGCTCAAGGTGAGAAGCTAGAGAGGCTCTGTGCGCTCAAGGTGAGAAGCTAGAGAGGCTCTGTGCGCTCAAGGTGAGAAGCTAGAGAGGCTCTGTGCGCTCAAGGTGAGAAGCTAGAGAGGCTCTGTGCGCTCAAGGTGAGAAGCTAGAGAGGCTCTGTGCGCTCAAGGTGAGAAGCTAGAGAGGCTCTGTGTGCTCAAGGTGAGAAGCTAGAGAGGCTCTGTGCGCTCAAGGTGAGAAGCTAGAGAGGCTCTGTGCGCTCAAGGTGAGAAGCTAGAGAGGCTCTGTGCGCTCAAGGTGAGAAGCTAGAGAGGCTCTGTGCGCTCAAGGTGAGAAGCTAGAGAGGCTCTGTGCGCTCAAGGTGAGAAGCTAGAAAGGCTCTGTGCGCTCAAGGTGAGAAGCTAGAGAGGCTCTGTGCGCTCAAGGTGAGAAGCTAGAGAGGCTCTGTGCGCTCAAGGTGAGAAGCTAGAGAGGCTCTGTGCGCTCAAGGTGAGAAGCTAGAGAGGCTCTGTGCGCTCAAGGTGAGAAGCTAGAGAGGCTCTGTGCGCTCAAGGTGAGAAGCTAGAGAGGCTCTGTGCGCTCAAGGTGAGAAGCTAGAGAGGCTCTGTGCGCTCAAGGTGAGAAGCTAGAGAGGCTCTGTGCGCTCAAGGTGAGAAGCTAGAGAGGCTCTGTGCGCTCAAGGTGAGAAGCTAGAGAGGCTCTGTGTGCTCAAGGTGAGAAGCTAGAGAGGCTCTGTGTGCTCAAGGTGAGAAGCTAGAGAGGCTCTGTGTGCTCAAGGTGAGAAGCTAGAGAGGCTCTGTGTGCTCAAGGTGAGAAGCTAGAGAGGCTCTGTGTGCTCAAGGTGAGAAGCTATAGAGGCTCTGTGTGCTCAAGGTGAGAAGCTAGAGAGGCTCTGTGCGCTCAAGGTGAGAAGCTAGAGAGGCTCTGTGCGCTCAAGGTGAGAAGCTAGAGAGGCTCTGTGCGCTCAAGGTGAGAAGCTAGAAAGGCTCTGTGCGCTCAAGGTGAGAAGCTAGAGAGGCTCTGTGCGCTCAAGGTGAGAAGCTAGAGAGGCTCTGTGTGCTCAAGGTGAGAAGCTAGAGAGGCTCTGTGTGCTCAAGGTGAGAAGCTAGAGAGGCTCTGTGCGCTCAAGGTGAGAAGCTAGAGAGGCTCTGTGCGCTCAAGGTGAGAAGCTAGAGAGGCTCTGTGCGCTCAAGGTGAGAAGCTAGAGAGGCTCTGTGCGCTCAAGGTGAGAAGCTAGAAAGGCTCTGTGCGCTCAAGGTGAGAAGCTAGAGAGGCTCTGTGCGCTCAAGGTGAGAAGCTAGAGAGGCTCTGTGCGCTCAAGGTGAGAAGCTAGAGAGGCTCTGTGCGCTCAAGGTGAGAAGCTAGAGAGGCTCTGTGCGCTCAAGGTGAGAAGCTAGAGAGGCTCTGTGCGCTCAAGGTGAGAAGCTAGAGAGGCTCTGTGCGCTCAAGGTGAGAAGCTAGAGAGGCTCTGTGCGCTCAAGGTGAGAAGCTAGAGAGGCTCTGTGCGCTCAAGGTGAGAAGCTAGAGAGGCTCTGTGCGCTCAAGGTGAGAAGCTAGAGAGGCTCTGTGTGCTCAAGGTGAGAAGCTAGAGAGGCTCTGTGTGCTCAAGGTGAGAAGCTAGAGAGGCTCTGTGTGCTCAAGGTGAGAAGCTAGAGAGGCTCTGTGTGCTCAAGGTGAGAAGCTAGAGAGGCTCTGTGTGCTCAAGGTGAGAAGCTAGAGAGGCTCTGTGTGCTCAAGGTGAGAAGCTAGAGAGGCTCTGTGCGCTCAAGGTGAGAAGCTAGAGAGGCTCTGTGCGCTCAAGGTGAGAAGCTAGAGAGGCTCTGTGCGCTCAAGGTGAGAAGCTAGAAAGGCTCTGTGCGCTCAAGGTGAGAAGCTAGAGAGGCTCTGTGCGCTCAAGGTGAGAAGCTAGAGAGGCTCTGTGCGCTCAAGGTGAGAAGCTAGAGAGGCTCTGTGCGCTCAAGGTGAGAAGCTAGAGAGGCTCTGTGCGCTCAAGGTGAGAAGCTAGAGAGGCTCTGTGCGCTCAAGGTGAGAAGCTAGAGAGGCTCTGTGCGCTCAAGGTGAGAAGCTAGAGAGGCTCTGTGCGCTCAAGGTGAGAAGCTAGAGAGGCTCTGTGCGCTCAAGGTGAGAAGCTAGAGAGGCTCTGTGCGCTCAAGGTGAGAAGCTAGAGAGGCTCTGTGCGCTCAAGGTGAGAAGCTAGAGAGGCTCTGTGCGCTCAAGGTGAGAAGCTAGAGAGGCTCTGTGCGCTCAAGGTGAGAAGCTAGAGAGGCTCTGTGCGCTCAAGGTGAGAAGCTAGAGAGGCTCTGTGCGCTCAAGGTGAGAAGCTAGAGAGGCTCTGTGCGCTCAAGGTGAGAAGCTAGAGAGGCTCTGTGCGCTCAAGGTGAGAAGCTAGAGAGGCTCTGTGCGCTCAAGGTGAGAAGCTAGAGAGGTCGTCAGTGAGAGCTAGAGGCTCTGTGCGCTCAAGGTGAGAAGCTAGAGAGGCTCTGTGCGCTCAAGGTGAGAAGCTAGAGAGGCTCTGTGCGCTCAAGGTGAGAAGCTAGAGAGGCTCTGTGCGCTCAAGGTGAGAAGCTAGAGAGGCTCTGTGCGCTCAAGGTGAGAAGCTAGAGAGGCTCTGTGCGCTCAAGGTGAGAAGCTAGAGAGGCTCTGTGCGCTCAAGGTGAGAAGCTAGAGAGGCTCTGTGCGCTCAAGGTGAGAAGCTAGAGAGGCTCTGTGCGCTCAAGGTGAGAAGCTAGAGAGGCTCTGTGCGCTCAAGGTGAGAAGCTAGAGAGGCTCTGTGCGCTCAAGGTGAGAAGCTAGAGAGGCTCTGTGCGCTCAAGGTGAGAAGCTAGAGAGGCTCTGTGCGCTCAAGGTGAGAAGCTAGAGAGGCTCTGTGCGCTCAAGGTGAGAAGCTAGAGAGGCTCTGTGCGCTCAAGGTGAGAAGCTAGAGAGGCTCTGTGCGCTCAAGGTGAGAAGCTAGAGAGGCTCTGTGCGCTCAAGGTGAGAAGCTAGAGAGGCTCTGTGCGCTCAAGGTGAGAAGCTAGAGAGGCTCTGTGCGCTCAAGGTGAGAAGCTAGAGAGGCTCTGTGCGCTCAAGGTGAGAAGCTAGAGAGGCTCTGTGCGCTCAAGGTGAGAAGCTAGAGAGGCTCTGTGCGCTCAAGGTGAGAAGCTAGAGAGGCTCTGTGCGCTCAAGGTGAGAAGCTAGAGAGGCTCTGTGCGCTCAAGGTGAGAAGCTAGAGAGGCTCTGTGCGCTCAAGGTGAGAAGCTAGAGAGGCTCTGTGCGCTCAAGGTGAGAAGCTAGAGAGGCTCTGTGCGCTCAAGGTGAGAAGCTAGAGAGGCTCTGTGCGCTCAAGGTGAGAAGCTAGAGAGGCTCTGTGCGCTCAAGGTGAGAAGCTAGAGAGGCTCTGTGCGCTCAAGGTGAGAAGCTAGAGAGGCTCTGTGCGCTCAAGGTGAGAAGCTAGAGAGGATCTGTGCGCTCAAGGTGAGAAGCTAGAGAGGCTCTGTGCGCTCAAGGTGAGAAGCTAGAGAGGCTCTGTGCGCTCAAGGTGAGAAGCTAGAGAGGCTCTGTGCGCTCAAGGTGAGAAGCTAGAGAGGCTCTGTGCGCTCAAGGTGAGAAGCTAGAAAGGCTCTGTGCGCTCAAGGTGAGAAGCTAGAGAGGCTCTGTGCGCTCAAGGTGAGAAGCTAGAGAGGCTCTGTGCGCTCAAGGTGAGAAGCTAGAGAGGCTCTGTGCGCTCAAGGTGAGAAGCTAGAGAGGCTCTGTGCGCTCAAGGTGAGAAGCTAGAGAGGCTCTGTGCGCTCAAGGTGAGAAGCTAGAGAGGCTCTGTGCGCTCAAGGTGAGAAGCTAGAGAGGCTCTGTGCGCTCAAGGTGAGAAGCTAGAGAGGCTCTGTGCGCTCAAGGTGAGAAGCTAGAGAGGCTCTGTGCGCTCAAGGTGAGAAGCTAGAGAGGCTCTGTGCGCTCAAGGTGAGAAGCTAGAGAGGCTCTGTGCGCTCAAGGTGAGAAGCTAGAGAGGCTCTGTGCGCTCAAGGTGAGAAGCTAGAGAGGCTCTGTGCGCTCAAGGTGAGAAGCTAGAGAGGCTCTGTGCGCTCAAGGTGAGAAGCTAGAGAGGCTCTGTGCGCTCAAGGTGAGAAGCTAGAGAGGCTCTGTGCGCTCAAGGTGAGAAGCTAGAGAGGCTCTGTGCGCTCAAGGTGAGAAGCTAGAGAGGCTCTATGCGCTGAAGGTGAGAAGCTAGAGAGGCTCTATGCGCTGAAGGTGAGAAGCAAGAGGCTCTTTGCACCAGTCGGCCCTGGCCTCCTCAGCGTCTCCTGCTTCTCACCTTCCATGAAACATCCATGCCCTTCAGTCATCACGGGGGTCGGGCTCAGTGAACCCGTTGGCCGTTCTTTGAGGCCACCTCAAAAAAAGGTCGGGCTCTGTGAACCTTTTGGCCCTGGCCTCTGCTGCGATCTGAGAGAGGGATTAATGCTGCCCTCGCCAGCCAGCCACCAAGCGCTCACCTTACTCGCCACGTCCATGCCCTCCAGCCTCCAGGTCGACCCGAGGGTCAGGCTCCGTGAACCCGTTCGCCCTGGGTTCAGTCACGATCCTCTTTCTCTTCTCACCATGCAGTGACCTTCCTCGCCCTCCATGCTGCTCACCTTCCTCGCCCTCCATGCTGCTCACCTTCCTCGCCCTCCATGCTGCTCACCTTCCGCGCCACGTCCATGCCCTCCAGGTCATCACGGGGGTCGGGCTCTGTGAACCCGTTCGCCCTCGCCTCCGCCACGATCTGGGAGAAGGGCTTGCTGCCGTCGAAGTTGTTGAAGATGTAGCTCAGAGTGCCGCTGGTGGGTGGGGGGAGGGGGGAGCGAGAGGAAGGAAGCATGAGAAGCCATTCGTGCAAATTGTGTGTGTGCTGTCGTGAAAGGTCGCTACGGACTCGGATGTTGCTCACAGTGCACGTCGTGAGCCCCTTTCTCACCTGAAAATACCCTCAATCCGGTGCATGTGGTCGCCTGTGTCCAGCAGCCCCTTGAGCGTCGCCACTATGGGCAGCCCTGCTCCGACAGTGGCTTCGTACAGATAGTGCGTGCACAGCTCGCGCTGCAGTTGGCGGATCTTGAGGTACTGTGGAGAGGGGGAAGGAGGGGGTTGAGAACAGAGGAGAGAGGGGAGAGGAGCTGAGGCATTAGCCCTGCTCCCACCGTGGCCTTGTACAGATAGTGCGTGCACAGCTCGCGCTGCAGCTGACGGATCTTGAGGTACTGTGGAGAGGGGGAAGAAGGGGTTGAGAACAGAGGAGAGAGGGGTAGTTGAAGCATGAGCCCTTCCCCCACTGTGGGCCCGTACAGATAATGCCACTGTGAGGGGGGGAGGGCAGGTGAGTGACCAGCCCTACTCCCACGGAGGCCTCATACAGGTAGTGCGTGCACAGCTCACGCTGCAGCTGGTGGATCTTGAGGTACTCAAGGGAAGAGGGATAGGGGGTGGAGAAGGAGAGGAGTGAGCAGTGGGATTGAAAGGGGACTTTTAATTCGACTAAACATTCACCTCGTTACAATGTCACACGACACTTTTTTACCTCGGGAGGACTAGGGGATGGGATTGGAGAGTGAGCAGTGGACCTGCTCCCACCAAACAGGCCGTCGTGGGCTGAGCTCTACCACCTCATTGTTAGCTTCTGAGCCGCTAGACCTCTAGAGTCTGCACTGCCAGCCGTGTCTGAACAAATAGCCGTGCCCAGAGTTTGGCAAGCCAGGTCGGGTACTTGTCTTCCACCTCACTGCTGGCAGTGCAGTCCACCACACTGTGTTGGGCAAGACATCTTTAGTCACAGCACCGCTGTTCGTCCAGTGAACTCCGTACCTCCTTCAACGGGCCAGAGTTGGCCTTCTTGTTGGGAGTGACCACATGCAGGCCTTCAGCCAGCCACGTGGGGTACTTGTCCGCCACCTCGCTGCTGGCAGTGCAGTCCACCACCACCGTGTTGGGCAGCCCGTGGTGGCCGTCCATGAGGGACGCCTCAAACGCCACCATGTCTGCTGCCTGGCCCCTCGTGTCCAGCTCCTCCCGCCAGTTGCTTAGGTCCACGCCCCTGGAAGGGTGTGGGAGTGGACGGGGGTTGAGGAGTAGGTGAGAGGTCGTGGTGCCCACCAGTGGCAGCCCGTCCCAATGATCCCCACCACGCGCATGTCTGTATAAACCTCCCTCCCCCCCCCCTCAAAGACTCGCCCTCTGCTCCCCTATCTAGTGAATTTCGAGTCCACACAAACCCCCCATCCCCCCTCACCTGTTGTCAATGAGCATCCTGTTGGCCCCAATGATGCCCACCACGCGCATGTCAATGTTGAACTCCTTCTTCAGGCTCGTCCGTTGGTCCCTGATCTGGTCCAGCAGCGTGCCGCCAATCAGCCCCGGCCCAATCAGCGCCACAGCCAGCGGCGTCTGCGAGTGGTAGAACCGCCCGTGCGCCGCCCGCAGCGCCGCCGCAGCATCGCTCCGATCCACCACCACTGTGATATTATACTCCGAGCACCCCTGCGCAATCGCCCGCACGTTCACCCGCGCTTTCGCCAGCGCCGCGAAGAGAGCAGCAGAGACCCCAGGGGTGCTAGCCATGCGCTGGCCCACAGCTGCCAGGACCGTGCAGTGGGGGATGACCTCGATGTCGTGGACGCGGTTCGATTCGATTGCGCGGCGGAAGGTGGAGCGCAGGGCCACAGCGACCATGTCGGCTTCGGACTCGGGGACGGCGAAGCAGACCGAGTGCTCAGAAGAGGCCTGGGAGATGGCGATGACGTTGGCGCCCACGTTCTTGACCGCGCTGAAGATCTGGCTGGCAATACCTGGCACCCCTGCCATGCCCGTTCTGATCGGAGGGGAAGAGACACGAGGGGGAGAGAGGAGAGGAGAAGGAGAGCAGCAGCGAGAGAGAGGAGGAAAGGGTATGAAGGACTTGTTAGGGTGCGGGGTGGCGTGGGCAAGGACGGGGCATTGAGGCAGCACGGAATAAACAGGCTTACGTCATCACGCAGCTCACCAACTCCTCGACTGAGTTGGCACGAATGATCATGCACACATGCTAACTCACCTGTCAACGTTGACCAACGCCCCATCCATTACCAAGGGTGGCGAAACCCTTCCCTTGACGGCAGTGTCAAGAGGATCCGTCCCCTCGCCCGACTCGTGCTCCTCGCCCAAGTAGGCGGCATGCGAGAGGCCTATCGACACGCGCATGAACCAACAAACTCACCCGGCGACATTGACCAGCACCACGTTGTCAATGGTAGCAAAGCCCTTAACCAGCATCCAGCGGGTCGGTCCCTTCCTCCAGCACCTCGTTGTGCACCGCCTCGTGCTGCTCCTCCGAGCAGGCGTCGTGTGAGCGAGCAAACAGCGCGCAACATGATTTAGCCAACGCACTCACCCAGCAACGTTAACCAGCGCCACGTTGTCGATGGTGGCAAAGCCCTTCACCACAGCGTCAAGAGGATCCGAGCCCTCCTCCAGCAGCTCGTTGTGCGCCGCCTCGTGCTCCTCGTCCGAGAATGCGTCGTGCGAGCGCCCAATGCGCGTGCCGGGCGCCGTGGGGTTGAAGGCGTTGCGGATGAACATGGGGATGGCGTACTTCATCACAGGCAGGGTGGTGCGCGGGTGGAGCACGTTGGCTCCGAAATATGACTGGAGATAGTGGGGGGGAAAGGGGGAGGGGGGATAGGGGCACAGGGGTGGGCGAGGGAGGGTTGGAGGCGTTGCGGATGAGCATGGGGACGGCGTACTTCATGGCGGGCAGCGTGGTGCACGGGTGGAGCACGGTGGCTCCGAAGTACGACTACTGAAGGGGGTGATCACAGGCGGGAGAAAGGGAGGGCGGGAGGGGGAACAAGGGGTTGAAGGCATTGCGGATGAACATGGAGATCGCGTACTTAATCACCGGAACGGTGGTGCGCGGGAGCAGGACATTTGCACCGAAGTATGACTGTTGAGGGGAATGGGAGAGAGGAAGAGGGGAATGGGAGAGAGGAAGAGGGGAAACAAGGGGTTGGCGGCGGTGCGATGAACATGGGGATGGCGGTGCGATGAACATGGGGATGGCGCAACTCATTACTGGGAGGGTGCTGTGCGAGTGCCGCTCGTTGGCTCCAACGTTGACTGCTCAAAAGCAGTGGGAGGAGAGGGAGCAGTGGAGAGGTGCAGACACAGATAATCCTTACTTTGAGCCTCACAGGAGGAGGGTACGAGGGTGTGAGAAAGCATGCATACAGCATGTGAGTGTGTGGGCAAGGGCGTGGGCAGTCCAGGAAGACCCCACTTCAGAGCCAAGTTCATTACGGGCGTGGGCAGTCCGCATGCTGTGGATTCGACTCTGATGCCCTTTGCTGCGGTTTTGTCTTTGACGCCCTACAACTCCCTTGGCTCGTACGTTACAGGATCCCATGACATGACCATGCCCATGCAACACTCCTCTGACCATGCCCATGCATCACTCCTCTGACCATGCCCATGCATCACTCCTCTGACCATGCCCCGGCAAACAACAAACCCGTGACTTACCAGCTCCCATGCCTCTTGGTAGGAGAGATTCTTGAGAATGACGGCATCAGGAACTGCAAGTCGAACGAGGGGGACGAAGAGAGGGGGAGAGAGTGTAAGAACAGGGAAGGATGAGAGGGGGAGGCAACAGAGTAGAATGGCAATTGGAGGTTAATAGGCACACTTATGTGGCATGAGTGCAAGCTAGCTTGACAGCTTACATTACTGCATTCACTGTAGCAGCAGCGTGTCGCATCCCTCTGCCTCACCTGCAATTTCCTTACCCTTTTCCCCCCCTCACCCTTCCGCCTCCTAACTAAGCACCATCCAAACCAGCCCAGATAATAACACGTCTCTCTTTCTCCCTCACTCACACACGCGCGCACACACATACACACACACACACACACACACACACACACACACACACACACACACACCTTTCCTGGGGTCCGCAGAGTAGACCCCGTCCACGTCCGTCCAGATGATCACCCGCCCGGCGCGCAGCAGCGAGCCGAAGATGGCAGCCGACAGGTCACTGCCGTCCCTCTTGAGCGTGGTGGGCACGCCATCCTCCGTGCGCGCGATGAACCCCGTCGCCACCACCAGGTCAGGCCCGCCGCCCTCGTAGTGCCCGTCGTCGCCCCGAGCAGCGTACCAGGCGTGCAGATTCTCCTCGCATCTCTCGTAGTTAGGATCCACCTGGTAAGGCGTTTTGGCGGGAGTGGGGAATGGAATGACTGTATGCATAATGCCATGCTAGATCGCATGCTACATGCCCCATGCATGCGGTGCTTGATCATACAACGGAACCCCTCACGCCACATACATGATGGATGGAGCTGCGTATGCCACTACGCATGCTACGCGCGCGCTTATTATGTATGGTAGGAGTATACATGCCACAGAGCCACATCATGTGACACCGCATAACGCATAGCTGTTGCACATGACACCGCCGCCGACAGAGGATGGCCCAACTGCCTTCAGGCTTCCTAATAAATACCCGAGTGTGCTGCCCACACCCAAACTACCCTTCCGAGGCACCTTGATTGCCGCCCAGGTTCAGAAGTCATGCGTGGCCGCCCAGACTCAACGTCGTACCTGGTTGCCGCCCTCTGCTGGGTGCACCACGAGCACGTCGCGAGCATCCATGAAGGCCACCTTCTTGCCCGTGACCTGGGACGGGAGAATAAGGGGGGAGGGGTTGCAGGGGATAATATAGGATGCAAGAGGGTCCTGTGTGACCTAGAGGAGGAGCACGGGAGAGTGGAGTGGAGGGAGGAGCGCAGAGAGGCGAAGGTAGGTCTGGAGGAATCAAAACGGAAGGCGCTCGGAAAGTGTGTATCAGTTGTTGTGTCAAACTCTCCCCAACAGGGAACTCCAGAACGAGGAATATTTCTTAAATCACCGCGCCTTCCTGGAAAGTACATTGCATAGTGAGCGATCCAAAACGCGTGAAGCGAGCGAATGTAGCTTGGACCGAGCCAGCACCCATTACGGGCTGAGATGAGATCTCCTTTATCGACAGCTGAGGGCCAGGCGTCTCGCAACACTCAACAGTGGCGCCAGGGAGGCACAGAATGAGGAACGCCCTCGTTCTGTGCCTCACGCGTGGGCGCGTTTCCTTAGTTTTTTTAGATTTCTCAAACAACTAACTCAAGCGCTGCAGCATAAGGACCGAGGAGTGGCACCCATGGGAGGGCCTTATGACTTCTCACCTTCTGCAGCGTGGCGGCGAGGATCATGGCGGACCACAGCTCGCCGTGGCCCACGATGAAGTCCGTGAAGATCTCCGTGGAGCTGCCGGCTGGGGGGAGGAGTGGGGGAGGGCGGGGACGAGGGGGGAAGGGGGGGAGGGCGGGGTGGGGGTGGGGGGGAGAGTATAGAGGGGGAAACACCATGGTGATATTTCCGTGCAGCTGCGTTCTGGGGAGAGGGGAACGGTGGGAGGCGGAGGGGGCAGTGGGGAGGGGAGAGGGAAAGAGGGGGTCGTGGAGGAGAAGAAAAGCGTCGAGCAAGCAGCACGGCATGGCACGGCATGGCACGGCATGGCTCGGCACGGCACGGCATGGCTCGGCACGGCACGGCATGGCACGGTATGGCAGGATATGGCACGGCATGGCTCGGCGTGGCACGGCATGGCACGGCAGGGCACGGCATGGCACGGCAGGGCACGGCATGGCACGGCAGGGCAGGGCATGGCATGATGTGGCACAGCATGGCACGAAACTCACCAATGGAAATAGCCTTGAGCATGGCTTTAAGGTTCACCAAATCTTCGTCTATGCGCTCCATGATCTTCTGCGCCTCCTCGTCCTCCTCCCCCAGCAGCTCCGCCGCCGCCGCGCGGTGCTTCTCCTTCAGCTGCGATATAAGCTCCCCCCAACCGCTATTATCCTTTGCGGCCGCCTTGTCCAGTAACGAGTACAGAATATTGGTGACCTTGGGGCTGCCGCCCATGGCGGACACGACGACGAAGCGACGCTCCGCGGGGTCGCTGGCGACGATGCGTGCGACGTTGAGGATTCGCTCGGCCGACCCCACGCACGTGCCGCCGAACTTGTGCACGGACCAGCTGCCGCCCTGCGGCATGGTCATGTCCGCCACCTCGAAGTCCGTTGTGATGTCCTCTGAAAGGCGCGGGTGAAGGGCGGAAGAGAAGGGGCAGGTGGACGGACAGGGTGAGCCAGAAAACGGACCCCACGCACATGCCACCGAGCTTGTGCGCGGACCAGCTGCCGCTTTAAGGCACTGTGAGGCCGGCTAAGACCAGGTCCGTATTGCTGTCTTCTGGTAAAAGAGGGTCACAGGTTACGGAAACGGAGGTTCGATGGGAACATTTGTCAGAAAAAACTTCTGAAACCTTATCGAGTGCTCGCTATAATGGTCGACTCTGATCCAGAAGAGAGGTCATGGGTCCCTCAATACCCTAAACAATATTCGACTTTTCCTCTTGCCTATGTGGCAATGCGGTTTCTCTGGTATGGACGGAGGCTTTGTTAGCGAAGTCACGACATCTTCTAAGGAGAATGGCACACGTCGTTTCAAGGAGGATCCGACGCTTACCGGCGATAGCGGCACGAACGGTGGTGGAGGGACGAGATGCGGGTGCGGGCGTAGCCCTGGCGGTCCTGCATTGGCGGAATGTTGAAGGCGGTTTGGAAACGGGAGTGGAAGGCGAAAGAATGAGAGACGCCCGAGGCAGTTACACGAGAGGAAGGCGCAAGAAGAAATGAAAAGGAGGGAAGGCGAAACTTTACAGTCAAAGTTTCCATGTGTGAAACTATATAACGGGCACTCTTGAAACATTGTTGAAACGCGGATATGTCTAGAGCTTCATGAATGTGCGACGGAGCCGAGAGACGCCACTGAACAAGCACGCTAAGGGTAGAATGAAGACGTGTGAACGAGGTCAGAACTCAGGGACCCTGACAAGAAACCCGGCCACATTCACCTGGCGGAAAGAGTCCCAAGCGATATGCTTCTTAACAAAGTGCAAGGAGGGTGACATGTCGTCGCTAAGCACGACGACGCTATGCTTCTCTCCTCCTTAAAGTAGGGTTGCGACGAGGTATGTGCACTCACCCCTTGAGCTTCTGCTTTGCAGCGGACTTCTGCGATTTAGAGGCCTTGAGTCCATTAAACGACGGAACAGCCCGTTCCTTCGTGGCGACTGTGGGAACTGATTTGACGGGTGTCAGACCCAACACCTTGGCACACTGGAGAGCAGCCATGGCGGCGTGAAGAAATTAGAATATTCAAGCTTGAAACACGCTATCTAGCAGGAAGCACGATCGGCAATGACAAATCCTGTTGCCGAATCTGTGCAAGGCCCGGTTTTGTGCGAGTCACAAGGTTTTGTGACTCGGAGTGAGCTAAAGTCAAGGTCCAACTCTGGGATGGCGATGAGAATATAGCTCGCTTCTTTCATGCTCCTGAATGGGTTTGTTGGTGGTGTTCACCTTGATCATCCTTCACTGCTCACCTTGATTGCCCCAAGCCAATGGGACTAGCTAACGAAGAAACCAGTCAGCAACGAAGAATCAAAAGCCCGCGCGAAGCATTTTCGCGAAAGTATGTTGCAACAGCAGTTCGTGAAAGGAACAAAACTATCGACGACGGGGATTGACCGGGTCTTCGGGACAGGCGAGCAGGGAGCTGCATCGTCGTTGGATGAGGCTAGTTGCCACGTGAGATGCACCAGAATCTGCAGCCATTGATTCGAGCGGGAAGGCCGTCTCTCACTCGAAACTCTCCATCCATTTGCTGCGACGAGCCACCAAGTTTTCATGATTGGAGAGCAGAGGCAGGTGCCAAATCATCCCATTAGTCGAATCCATTAGCCAATCAAACGCTAGCACTTCCGAGAAGTGCTGGAACTGTCTCGGCGCCGAACGGGGACTGTTGATCCAGTCGTTATCCACGACAGCACGTGACAGGCTGGCGGAGCTTCCCAATGTCGCCAGATCAGCGAAACCCCCAAAAGATCCGACCCCATTTCCAGCAAACCCTGCAACCTGCTTGGAAAACAAAACAGTGTTGAACTTGTTATTATCCAAATTACTTTAACTATATGGTTGGTTGATATAATACTACTTCATTGTGGGAAAGCGCCTTAGAAGGGGCAAGTAGCATCGGAGGCCTGGCAGTTGACGGGACTTCACCTATACAACAATAAATGAAAGTCTCCCTTCCCATTTTCAACCCCGACCAAGTGCTTTCTTGTACACCATGTTCATGATGCGGAGAGCACAATGCCCAATTTGCTGGAGCTTCCCGACATGGTATGCTGCAATTCCTAGTTTGGTGGCTTATTTCGTCTACAGAAATGCACAGCACAAATCATTTAGGCACTCGTTCTCTCGGCTGTACCACAGTACCAGTCTTACTACCACCGTCAACAACCACCATGCCCTCCCTTGCTCCCCGCCCTTCTCTGATGTTCGGTCGGCTTGTTTTGACAGCTTGTGTGCGAGCTGGGGATCTCTGGCCAGCAGCCAAAAGGAGCTGATCAAACCTGAACACATCAGCGCCCTCACTAGCTGACGTAAACGGAACAGTACACTCACACAACGTGACAAACGCTGAGAAAGGGGCAGCACGAATCCCAAGGGAAACCATCTCTGCTGCCGCTGCTGCTCTCTCTCCCAACCTCTCCCCAACCCCAGCCCCCCCACCACCACCTCTCCCACTCCCTGCCAGCGCTCTCCCCAGCCCCCCCATAACCCTCCCCACATTCTCCACATCCCTCTCCTTCCCACTGCCGAACCTCACAAGGGCGGCACTACGGCCAAAGGCAGCACCGCAGCCATCAGTGGCAGTGCTGCCATCGGGGGCACCACTGTCGATGAGCTCGACCTCGAGGGGCGCATTGTAGCCCAGCAGGCCGCGCAGGAGGAAGCGCAGGCGCTGAGGGGGGAGCGAGGGCGGCACGCCCCACACGAAGAGCACGTTGGACCGGTCCTCCTCCCTCCTGCTGCTGCTGCTGCTGCTGCTGCTGGTGAGATCAATGCTGGAGCTGGGAGTGGTGGGTGCGGAGATGTGGCTGCTGCTGTTGGGAGACAGAGGGGAGGAGGAGAAGGAGGAGGAGGAAGGGTGGATAGACAGGAGGGTGTCAAAGGAGGGGGCCCTGCAGCCAACGGCAGCACGCCCTGTGGCCAGGTCTAGATGAATGTCCCTGGCGCCCTTGCCTATGAGGGTGGTGATGTTGGACAGTCGAGCCACTGTTGCTGCTGCTGCTGCTGCTGCTGCTGCCGATGCTGCTGCTGTTGCTAACCCTGATGCTGCTGCTGCTGCTGATGGTGCCGCTGCCATTGGTGCATCTGCTGCTGATATACTGGTGCTCCCTTTGCTGCGTTGACTGACTTTACTCCAACGACCCACATCCACCTCTCCCCTCCTACTCACAACCCCTTCTCCTCGTCTCCACCTCTCCACCACCACTCCCCTCCCCTCCCCCTCTCTCTCCCACTCCCCTCTCCCCAACCCATCTCCCCCCCTCTCCCCCCCTTGCCCCCTCACTCGTCTCCTCTCCCCATCTCCCTGCCTCCTCCCTAGCAGCAGCCGCAACAGCAGCGGCAGCGGGGGGGAGGGAGGAGAGGAGGTGGGGCGGGAGGCCGAGGCGGTGGCAGGTTTGGGCGAACACCACTCCTGTCATAAATGCATCGTATGCCGCCTCGTGGCTCAGATCCTGGCCGTTTGATGTCGAATATCTGACGGTTAAGAGTGGACATGGAGGATGAGGAGGAAAAGTGGGAGCCAAGGTGGGGCGGCGGGCTAGGCAAAGGCAGGTTTGGGCGAACACCACTCCTGTCATAAAGACATCGCATGCTGCCTCGTGGCTAAGATCCTGCCCGTTTGATGAAGAATTCCTGATTGTTGAGATGGGGGAGGGAAGGAACGTGTAGGGCAGCGGGATGGTGGGTGGGGGAGAGAGGGGAGGGAACATGGGAAGGAGTGGTTGGGGAGGGCGAGGGAGAAACGGTGAGAGCCGAGGCGGTGGGAAGGGAAGCCAAGGGGGTGGCAGGCTTGGGCAAACACCGGTCCTCGCATGAATGCATCGTATGCTGCCTCGTGGCTCAAGTCGTAGCCGTTGGATGAGGAGTATCTGACGGTTGATAAACCAAACCGGAAAAAAACATAATCTCGTGGACCTCAACGCTGGAGGTCTCTGGCTGCCCTCCTCAACGCTGGAGGTCTCTGGCTGCCCTTCTCTCTCACCTGCCAGCCTTGCGGCCGGACTGAATTCGCATGAACGCCCCACCCACAAAGAGATGGCTTCGTCACAGCTCACAAAGGCTGTTACCTGCCGTGTTTCTTGCCCGCCTCTCTTGCCTCCTCTCTTGCCCTCCTCTCCTTCCCTCCTCTCCTTCCCTTCTCGCCTTCCCTCCTCGCCTTCCCTCCTCGCCTTCCCTCCTCTCTCGCCCTCCTCGCCTTTCCTCCCCTCCTTCCCTCCTCTCCTTCCCTCTCCTCTCGCCCTCCTCCCTTGCCCTCCTCCCTTGCCCTCCTCCCTTGCCCTCCTCCCTTGCCCTATCCCTTGCCCTCCTCCCTTGCCCTCCTCCCTTTCTCACCTGGCAGCCTCGTGGCCGAACTGCACTCGCATGGGCGCCCCACCCACAAAAGGAAGGTTCCTCGAAACATCATAGAGATCGCTGAGTGTTGCGCGCCTGTTGGTGCTTGCAACTTCCTGGAAGGTGAAGGGGAGAAAGGGAGGGGGTTAGAGCCGAGGAGAAGGAGGCAGGGGGGCATGGCCTGGGCATAGCACTGTAACACTAGGCTCAGGCACCTGCTACACACACAGCTACAGCACACACAGCTACAGCACACACAGCTACAGCACACACAGCTACATGAGAAGGGTAGCCGAGTCGAGGCAGCTGGTGTTCCACTGCGCGGGGGAGAGGCGGCGTACAGTGCTGTGGCATGCTGCTGAACAAACCTGCTGGAGGCGAGGCAGCTGGTGTCCCACAGCGCAGGGAAGAGGCGGCAAAACTCGCTAGCAGGGATCAGAGCACTGAAGCTATCCTTTCTGCAGTGTCATGCACCTGGTGGAGAAGGGCAGCCGCAGAGAGCCAGCTGGTGTCCCACAGTGCGGGGAAGAGCCGGCGAACCTCGTGAGAGAAGGCTGCCGGGGAGGGCGGCAGGCGGCCCACGAACTTGTGAAGAATATGCGAGAGGTCTGGAGGGGGGCAGTGACGGGGAGAGGATGGGGGAGTGAGAGGGAGTGAGCGAGAGTGAGAGGGAGCAAGCGAGAGTGAGAGGGAGTGAGCGAGAGTGAGAGGGAGCAAGCGAGAGTGAGAGGGAGCAAGCGAGAGTGAGTGGAGCGAGCGAGGGTGAGAGCACGTACCAAAAGAGCAAGTGTGTACGACGAGTGGTTTACTCTGGCATGCTCGTGCCAGCCCAACACGCCCACCACTGGCCTCACCTCCACCCGCCTGTGCACCACCACTGCCGCGTCTGCTCTGAGGCACCTCAAGACGGCACGTACTGAAAAGGCAGCTGTGTGCCACGAGGGGCTTGTCCTGGCACGCCCGTTTTTGAGGCGCCTAAGAAATGCAATCCTCAAGATGGCACGTACCGAGGAAGAAGCTGTGTGCAACGAGGGGCTTCTCCTGGCATGCCAGAGCCAAGGCGTCCACCACTCGCCTCACCCCCACCGCCTTGCGCACCACTGCTGCCGCCTCTGATTGCCGCAGGCCCAGCAGCCGATTCTGCAAGCAGAGCATTGCACCACGGGGAAAAGGAGTACGGAAGCAGCGGAAAAATGGGCAAAGGCGTCCAGCACGCGCCTCAACCCCCACCGCCCTGCGCACCACTGCAGCCGCCTCTGCCTGTCGCGGAACCAGCAGCCGCTCCTGCAAGCAGTGCGTTACAGGGAGAAGGAATATAGGAGAAAGGGGAGTTTAAGGTTTCAGGCCTGGGGTTTAAAGTGGGTCCAACGAGTGGTTTATCCTGGCACGCCAGATCCAATGCGTCCACCACTCCCCCCACCACCCTGCACACTGCCGCTGCTTCCTCGGCCTGCTGCAGACCCAGCTGCCCACACAGCCCATTGCAGAGAGTATAGGGGCATTGTTGAAAAAGGAGCATTGTGAAAAAAGGAGCATTGTGGAAAAAGGAGCATTGTGGAAAAAGCTAAGTTGGAAAAAAACGCTCACTTTTGATTGCGTATTGCGTTTAAAGGCATAGAAAATACGTACGCTGCGGTTTTGGTCTGGATACGCCGAAATACGCACGGGCTGACCGGAAGAAAAAACCCCAAAAATTGCGACATTTTGCGACTTGGCGAAAAAGATTCTCGCCTTCGCACATCGCGCGGACTCAACTTCGAGTTCAAATTTCGAACCCTAACCCCAACAGCCCCCCCTTCGAACCTCTGTCCACCCTTCTCCACCTCGTCACTTCCCAATCCCTCCCAACCCAACTCCTCCTTGAGACGAGTTGGCCTCAAACAGAGTCAGCTCTCCTAGCATAAATTACTGCCATTTCAACATTTGATACTCATTCTTGCAGTTCCCTTTCTACCGTAGCTTGCCCGCCACCATGACTTCCAGCCCTACAGCATCACCCTCTCCCCCATCTGCTGAGGCAACCCGTACTTCCACCTGCCCGGAAAAAAAATTCCTCTGCCCGGGCCACCGTATTCTGTGCGTACCCGACCCCCTCCTCCTAAGCGTATTGCGTTTATACACTCTCGTATAAACGCTTTCGTATAAAATGCAATACGCGTATATTCCAACGTAGGGAAACAGGAGCATTGTGGAAAAAGGAGCATTGTGGAAAAAGGAATCAGGGGAAAAAGGGAAGCCGATGGGAAAATGGGAAAAGCGAACAGGCCATGCAAAGATGATGATGTCGTGTCATGTACAGATGTGTGTCTTGTCATGTGTCACCAGGTGTGTTTTGAGTCGACTCAAAATGTCACCTACAGATTCACCGTTTTGAGTAGGTGGCGAGTTCTGAGTCGACTCAGAAGCGTAACAGTACCACACTTCCCTTCACCGCGGCACGTAATTTCACCTTCAACTTTCAAACAACTTTGTTCACAACGAACTCGCTGCCATGTATGGTGCAAGATCCCAAGTGGTGCTCTCTACGAGCTGCCACACTCCTCTTAACTGAGGCACGCACCCCACTTCTCCTACCGCCCTCACCGCCCCCCTACTACCCCCCATTCCCTTTGAGTCGACTCAAAAGTCAGTTCTTTTGCTGCACCAGCACTCTCTTGTACATGCCAACTTGCTGTATGCCGGCCCACCTTTCCCCGCATTCGTTCTTCCCACCTAGACATGGGCACAAGCCGAGCCACATCCGGCTCGGCTCGGCTCGGCTCGCCAAAATGACGAGCCGAGCCTTTCTTTTCGGGATCTGGCTCGACTCGAGCCGAGCAGGCTCGGCTCATGCCCATGTCTATTCCCACCTCACCTGCAAGTCCTCAGCCTCACCTGCAAGTCCTCAGCCTCACCTGCAAGTCCTCAGCCTCGTCCTTTGATTGGCACAGGAAGAGCCGCACTCGCTTGTACGCGCCCACTCGCTCCTCGTGTGACGCCAGATAGGGGTGCTTATAGCGAATGGCCTGAGGAGAGGAGCAAGAATGGTAGGAAGTGGTTTGAGAAAGGTCAGGAGCCTTGTAAGGATGGTGTTGAGGGGGAGTGGATTGGGAGGCACAAGTTACTGCACATTGGATTGGAGAATACTGCACATCCTTAGGATGTGTGGGTGCTTAGGATAAATCACTAACCGACCGACTATTGTGCCAACTTGTCTTGGCATGCCACAGCAAATGGTGCCACGGCATGGCATGGCATGGCATGGCATGGCATGGAATCGCATGGGAAAGCATGACCTACAAATTTAATGCACCCTAAAACATATGATATGCCATGCCATACCATACCATCCCATGCGCTCTCATCCAGTTGGCGGCATAGAAGTTGAAGGCGCCGTTTATTTTTAGAGAGAGAGCCAGGAGGAGATGACTTTTGAGTTAATTAAAAAAGGCGTCGCTTATTCTGCAGACCTCGCCATCCGGGACCGGGGAACGGCGGCAGTTTGGATCGATGACGTCACGGTTACGGACCCAATCGGCAACCGGGACCCCACAGCCCGCAAAGGGCGTGGATTCGCAGCGAGGGAACAAGCGGATAAAAAGATAGACCACTACAACAAATCGGGCAGCCTATGTCGGTTTCTTCCCCTTAGCCGTGGAAACGTACGGTTGCCCATGGTGGGAGGTGCCGGCCTTCCTCAAGCTCCTAGCCAAGGCGGCCGCCAGGAAGCTCTTCAATGCGGAGCCAGCCACCTACCAGGCGGCTAAGCTCCTTCACCAATTCCGGCAGCGCTGGTCCTGCACCCTCCAGCGGGGTCAAGCCGCGTCCTACCTCAAGAAGGTGAACGAGGCGGCCCAGGCGGAGCACCCGCGCATCAGCTCACCTGATGAGTCCCTGTCCCCGGCTGACTGCTTCGCGGTCCTGGAGCCGGTGCTAGAGTGGTCGTAGGAAGCCTGCGTGTGTAGGTGTTTGTACTCACCTTGCTTGCCAGCCGATGCCTAGTTGTACCCAGGTTTCAGAAATACACGGACCGCTTGAGAGAGTCAGGGCCCCTCACCAACCACTGCTGCTAAAGCACACGGCAGACCCCTCCTGCTGCTGCCACTGGCGCTGCTGCTGGAGGTTGGTGGTGCTGCTATCTACTACTGGGCAAGATATAGGCATGACAGGGCATCTCACCTGGGATCAGTTGTCATGGAAGACTAGCAGCAGCGTAGGAAGGTGATCTCACCTGGTCGGCAGCATGACAGGGCATCTCACCTGGTCGGCAGCATGACAGGGCATCTCACCTGGTCGGCAGCATGACAGGGCATCTCACCTGGTCGGCAGCATGACAGGGCATCTCACCTGGTCGGCAGCATGACAGGGCATCTCACCTGGTCGGCAGCATGACAGGGCATCTCACCTGGTCGGAAGCATGACAGGGCATCTCACCTGGTCGGCAGCATGACAGGGCATCTCACCTGGTCAGCAGCATGACAGGGCATCTCACCTGGTCGGCAGCATGACAGGGCATCTCACTTGGTCGGCAGCATGACAGGGCATCTCACCTGGTCGGCAGGCAGCATGGCAGGGCATCTCACCTGGTCGGCAGCATGGCAGGGCATCTCACCTGGTCGGCAGCATGGCAGGGCATCTCACCTGGTCGGCAGCATGGCAGGGCATCTCACCTGGTCGGCAGCATGGCAGGGCATCTCACCTGGTCGGCAGCATGGCAGGGCATCTCACCTGGTCGGCAGCATGGCAGGGCATCTCACCTGGTCGGCAGCATGGCAGGGCATCTCACCTGGTCGGCAGCATGGCAGGGCATCTCACCTGGTCGGCAGCATGGCAGGGCATCTCACCTGGTCGGCAGCATGGCAGGGCATCTCACCTGGTCGGCAGCATGGCAGGGCATCTCACCTGGTCGGCAGCATGGCAGGGCATCTCACCTGGTCGGCAGCATGGCAGGGCATCTCACCTGGTCGGCAGCATGGCAGGGCATCTCACCTGGTCGGCAGCATGGCAGGGCATCTCACCTGGTCGGCAGCATGGCAGGGCATCTCACCTGGTCGGCAGCATGGCAGGGCATCTCACCTGGTCGGCAGCATGGCAGGGCATCTCACCTGGTCGGCAGCATGGCAGGGCATCTCACCTGGTCGGCAGCATGGCAGGGCATCTCACCTGATCGGCAGCATGGCAGTTGAAGGCATCGTTTATTCTGAGAGAGAGCCACGGCCTCCCACCAACCACTGCTGCTAAAGCACACGGCAAACCACCACTGCTGCTGCTGCCATCCCCTCCCACATCCACCCCTGCACCCACCCCTGCACTCACCCCTGCACCCACCCCTACACCATGGCCTGCACCATCGCCTGCACCATCCCCTTCACCATCCCCCACACCACCACCGGCAAGCTCCCTCGCCTGAGACTGAACCTGCGCTGCTGCTCTCAGCCGCGCCAGCCACATGTCGACGCGCGATAGGCTCTTCATGGCAAATTGCACGCGCGGGAAGGGAGCGGAGGACGGGTCGGTTCGGTCGCCGCTGTCACGCCAGCTGTATCGGCTGCTGCTGCTGCTGCTGCTTGTGCTGGCTTGCGTGTGATTGGTGGGCTGTGCCACGTCAGCGCTGCCTTGTTGGCTGGGAGCTGAGCCCTTATTGGTTGCTGTGGCTGATGGGGGAGGGAGGTCCAGAAACTTCCATGCGGCTTCCTCTTGCTCGTGGGACAGGTACGAGATCCCTGTGTGGATGGACGGATGAGATCGCATTGGGTTTTGGGGATGCAATGGGAAACTGCATGCATGGGTGCATGGATGCACGGATGTGCGTGCAATCCCACTCGTACACATACACTTACACCACTCATCATCACAATCACCATATGGCCACCACCATCGCCACCACCATCACCATCATCACCACACCATCACCATCACCATCACCATCACCACCACCATCATCATCACCATCACCACCACCATCATCATCACCATCAGCATACCTGTCCCTCACAACGCCCCCTATTGCACCCATGTCTCCAGGTCCTTGGGCGGCAAGGAACTGGAGGGAGGACGATTGGGTGGCACTGGAACGACCAGTGGGCTCGGCACATCATGGCCCATCCCCCCTCAAAGGAAGGTGGGATTAATTCACACACCATCCCCCCACACACCCACCACCCACCATGCTGCACCCATCACGCATCACCACCACCCACCGTGCTGCACTGGGCCCAGTTCTTGAAGTCGAGATGGTGGTGAGCCGCAAGGATCTCGAGGGGGGACGGCGGGATGTATGGTGGGGCCAATCAACTCATACCCCAAACCCCAAACCCCACCGTGCTGCACCCTCTTGCACACGATTATCACCCACCGTGCTGCACCCGGCTGTTGAAGTGAAGGTGGTGGTGGTGAGCAGCAACGAAGCCGGGGGATGATGGTTGGCACCACGCTCTGGAAGGAATGGTAGAATCGACACACGAACCACACACTCAAACAACCCCGCCCCGCACACCCAACCCACCGTGCTGCACCCAGCTGTTAAAGTCGAGATGGTGGTGAGCCGCAAGGGACTCCAATGAGGACGGCTGGCACTGGAAGGATTGGCTTAGAGGCACCTTGGAACCAGCATTTCCCGTCCACCACATCAACACTCGTGGAACCACCACCACTCACAACCCATCACTCAGCATCACCCACCGTGCTGCACCCAGCTGTTGAAGTCGAGGTGGTGAGCTGCAAGGAACTCCAGAGAGGACGGCTGGCACTGGAAGGAGTGCACTGGCACGCCCTTAAAGCCCGGGATCTCCGACCGGGGGAAGACCTTGAAGTTGAACCTGGGAGAAGGGGGCAAAGGGGAGAGTCCAGGATGGGAGGAGTGCACTGGGACGCCCTTAAAGCCCAGCCGTGTTGCAAGGGCTGACGACCGCTGGCGAGGACGGATGGCAGTGGAAGGAGTGCACTGGGACGCCCTTAAAGCCCAGTATTTCTGATTAGGAAAGACCTGCTAAAGAGAGGGATAATGGGGGGGGGGGGGGGGGGCAGGGATGAACTCCAGGGAGGACGGCTGAAAGATGGCTGAAAGACCGACTTAAAAACCTCCTGAGGAGAGCGACAAGGGGAGGTTTGTGTGCAGGGGGAGAACGGAGGGGAGGGGCAAAGGGAGAAGGTGGAGGGTTCGTTGGGGGATTCATGTGGAGATGACTGGTGAGGAGAGGTGACAACTGCAAGCACGTGGCTGGCCTGGCACTGGAAGGAGCGTGCTGGGAAGCCCTTAAAGCCCGACCGACCAGTTGAATATCCTGAAGCTTGACGCAGGTGGTTTCTGAGTTTTCTAAAAGAAGCCACCTTAAAGCCTGAGCGACCGATTCATCAACTCGAAGCTGACCCTGGAGGTTTGGGGGATTCAAGGGGTTTGAAGCCCTGCAGGCAGATGGCTGGCAGCTCCTCCCAGCTGGAAGGGGCGCACTGGGAAGGGACGGCGAGAGGGAGAGGCCAGGTGCTGCCATGCGTGAGAAGTCTATTTTTTAGGCGCCTCAAATAAATCCTCTCAGCCGGAAGGGGCACACTGGGAAGGGCGGGCGAGAGGGCAGGTGCTGCCATCATGCCATGGCCCCCATTCTTAGGGGGCTGCTCCACGTGGGGGCTGCTCCACGTGGGTGGTTTTGAGGCGCCTCAAAATTAGGGGGCTGCTCCACGTGGGTGGGTGAATGACGACTCTCCTTCCTCTCTTGGTCCCACTTGAACGAGCACACCCCCAGCTGCATCACCTCGTACTAACGGGTCAACGATGAATCTCCATTGTTCTTTGTCCCAAACGAGCACACCCCCAGCTGCATCACCGCATGCTGCAGGGGGCTGTGCCGCCCGTTGCTGTGACTTTGACTAGTCAGGTTACTCACGGGTGAACGACGAACTCTCTCCTCTCTCCATCCCACTTGGACGAGCACACGCCCAGCTGCATCACCGCATACTGTCAAAAGGAAGGGAGGAGGGTCTACTCACGGGTGAACGATGAACTCCTTCCGCTCCTCGTCCCATCTGAACGAGCACACCCCCAGCTGCATCACCGCATACTGCATCGCGCTGTGCCGCCCGTGGAGAAACCGCGTTGCTACAGTGTCCGCATCCAACGGCCGCCTGAACGACCCCGAATCTAGACCGCTCATTTCCAGATCCAGACAAATGAAGTCAGCCGCTTGCAGCGCGGGCTTGACCTGGGTCTCGAACACCTCCTCGAAGTTCTCCCGCGTTACCGAAGCTACGGTCAGGTTCGGAGGCAGGTTCGGCGGCTGCTGCCGAGGCTCAGGCTTGGGTTGCGCCGAGCCTGGCAGATGAATGGTGGAAATGCTGCGCCGACTATTGGCAGGAGCCGTAGTATCTGGTGGGAAAAGCGGCGGTGAATGCGCGTTGATGCAAAATCGAGCTCCCCAATAGGAGGATCCGAGAATCTCGCCGCAAGCACGTGCTGATGGATGCGCTACGGGCGGCGCGAAGCACAAAATCTGCCTGAGTGCTACTATCGAGGGACGGCTGGCGGGAACGCGCGAGGGAAGTGGACAGGCCGAAGAGGCCGGACGAGCGGAAGACACGCAGAGCAATCGGCGACTGCACGACGCACGAGCCGTCGTTCCGAGTCGCGTCATTATGGAGGCACGGGAGGCCGTCAATATCGAGACGCGAGAGGCCGAGAGAATGGCCGCCATTCTCCCCGGCTCTCACACAGCCCTCCTGGGCGCGCTGGTGCTACCGCTCCCTACAAAAATTCGACCATCTCCCCTCCCTCAACAATATCTCCTTTGCCTGTTTAGGATGCTCGATACAGGCAGATTCTACAGTAGCAGCTGTGGTGAGGGGGGACCACACATTGTCTATACATTATGCGATCTCCAAAATGCTTGCACTTTCTAGCCTTAATAATTTGTACAGATTTTCGTAACATGCATCTCTGCACTATAAGTAACTCCCGTATAGTGAATGTAAGGAATTACAATTCCTTACTGCTCTAAATTACAGCGCGTACACCCGAAGACGTCGACCTCGTAGGTTCGGCCTATATCTTCGGCCCAAACCTTCCCGAGTCGCGTCCCGACACCCTCGCCACCCTTCCAAGCCACCTCACGTCCCGAGGTTCTCGCCCTAGCACGTACGAGCCCTATTTTAGCCAGTTCGCTCGTCACTTGCTAATAAATCATTATTCATAGGTTGTATTTCCATTACTCAGTCGATTATTCCATTCCCACTTATAACACTTGGTATTCAGAGCCACTTTCCTCGTGCAGTAGCTTCCGCCTGCCCGAGATTTTTTCTTGGGGGGGGGAAAGGAGGGATGGCTGGTGGGCCGCGGGGCTTCACAGCGGTTGGCTCGGAGCTAATTTGTTAGCTCGTCCGACTAAGGCGTGTGCGCTCCCTTCGTCACCAGACCTTGCCTTTGGACGGCCAAGATTTGGTCGGGTCCTCCCTCCCCCCAGAAATGGACAGCTGTGGCTGTCACGGCATTAATTTGGCACATGAGTTGGTGAATTATGCATTTACTTCGTTCGTTTTGTGTGGCAACATGGCGTCGTCGTCACGTGGCGGGAAATCTTTAAGCGGTTCGCCAGGAGACATCGTCAGCGGTTGTGCGAAAAAAGCGAAGGCTTGCCCAACTCCGTGAGAAGATTTTGGAGTTCGCCAGGCGCACGTGCGATGCGTCAGAAGTGTACACGGGGAAAGCGCGAGGAGCGAGAGACGCGAAGAATTCGTTGGCGCTCTGTTTCATGTGCAAACCGACAACCTCGGAGGATTGGGCCTTGGTGTGTCGTCGCGCTCCGGTAACTTCGGCGAGGGGACAACGACAGTGGGTCGGCGCGGCCTTGATTCGGCGAAAAATCCAGAAGCAGAAACCTTCGACAACGACCAACTTTCGTACAGCACCAGGATGGCACTGGGACGTCACCGACAGGTGTCAAACAGTTGGCAGCTGGATTGTAGTCAGGCTTTACGCGTGGTCTACAACCTGCCGACACTGTACCTACATGCCGGGCAAAAGTTTCCTGACGAGGAAACCAGCTCGAGAAATGACGGCCAGGGCTCCGCGATAAAAGGGACATGGGGCGCAACCCACGGATGCTGCAACAGAAATTATGGACGGGTCCATCGCGCGCGTCTCCCTAGGTCACCGTAAGGGCGAAGTTTTCGGATTCTATAAGAAAGAAGGTTGCGGCGGAAGGGGAAGTTCAGGACAGCGGATTTTGCCGCACGTCAGTAGCGGTTTGGCCACCGGCTGACGGAGCGTCCTTTCCACCGACTTGCAACGGCCTCCACCTGGGAGTAGTGGTGATTTATGGGGTCATTTCACCTTCCAGGTCCGTAACGGGGGTTAAAGCTGGAACTTCCTTCGTGCTGGCGAAGATTTGGGGAGCTGACCTGGAAATGGTGTTCGTCCGAGGGGATTAGCATGGCTGCACAGCGATCGCATTGGTGATTAATGGCGTGTGCGCTGGCTTCTGCTCCGTCCGGGCCACTGTGACCAGCTGGAAGGGGAAAAAAAATGGGGTTTTTAGGTAATTCGTGGTGTCAGAGGGGATTTGCACGGCTGCGCAACGGTTGGCTGGGAGTTAATATTTTAGCTCCACCGACTACAGGCGTGCGCGCTAGCTTTTACTCCGTCCTGCCCCGGATTACGGTTTTACGGCTGTTTACTTACCGACAGAAGCGGAAAGTTGGGTGAACGACGACCTGCCGAAATAGTCGGGGAAGTCGTGAAGAAATATTCGAAGTCGACACTGTTGCAGCTGGAGCTCGACACTGTATCCGAAGTTTTCGGAGTGCGGCTAAGCGGAGGGAGTTGTCCCAAATTTACACGGGCTACTACGACGCGCGATAATGCCTAGGACTTGTCTGGTGTCATGGCGAGCGCAAAGATGGGTGAACGTCGGCGCGCTGCAAAAACGCCCGGTACCAGATGGGGAATTCTTCGAAGACCAGCGGCGCAGCTGTTAAGCACCTGAAGTTTACGGGCACCTAAGTAGCAGAGAAGCGGTTTTGGGAAACCTGCAGCAGCCGCGAAGTGGGTGGACGACTACAAGGCCTACTGGTCAGGGGTACCAGGGTATTTTAAGAGTTTGGGTTACAGCTGTGAGGAAATCGCCGACGTATGATGCTCGCCCGCCATGATCGACGGCCGAAGACCCATGCCCGGGCGGTGAACGACGAGTACCCCAGATTAATGGGCTCAGTTCATGCGTACAGCTGGTGACGGACCGATGGGGGTGCAGCTAAAGAATGGCACGTCAAGATTTTATGGGTCGCTGAGAAGCACGTGCAGCGGTGAAGCAGAGTTGCGATATTTGCTAAGCTAGGGGAGAAGTTCCGACAATTTCGCTGGAAGAAACAGTGAAGCAGTTCAAGTTGTTGCAGCTGGCGTGGTGCCCGCCATATCCTAGGGTACGAGCGACATCATCCGATTTTCGCGGAGTAGTTTGGTTTCATGGAGAGTGAAGGAGCGGCAGCTGTTTTCGGCTCTTTCAAAAAATTTCGGCATGTACGGACAAAACGGAGCTGCAGTCGTGTGACCTTGGGTTCGGCTCGAGAGTATTTACTATATTGGGTCAGGACAGGTCATTTTCCATCGCCATCGTCGTCAAACTCTCGCCAACACCCGCTACCGCCTCCATCGCCAATTCGCCTACCTTCGTTCGCTATATCGAACACGACCCCGCCATCCGCCTGGAGCAGTATCGCATGGACGCAATTGAGCAGCATTACTGTTGGAGCTGTGTTGGGGCCAGCTCGCAAGCAGTGGATTGACTCGTGAAGATTTTTTCAATTCGTCTGAGAGTTATTTCTGGAGCATTATTGCTGCTTTTCCGGGTTTCAGGAGCGGTTTTCCCTACAGAAGAATTTACTTGGAAGCGGATTTGGGAGTTTTACCCGCTGGAGTTTCACCGACCACTTCGAAGATGGATTATCCTGGAGTTTATGTCGCAATGAGGGTATTTTACTACTACCCTAGAGCAGTGTTGCCGATTTTCGGACTTCAGAAGCGATTCGCCCTGCAGAAGAATTCCAATATGGAGCAGATTTGGCAGTTCTAACCGTTGGAGTTTACCCATCTCTTCGACGCTTAGTTTTTTACGGCGCTTATATCGCAGTTGGGGTATTTTACGACTACCCTGGATACGTGAGTTACCTGGCGGTTTACCCGATTTCTGGAAGTTGCTTCTTCTTGAAGGGGAGGGGAGAAGTGCAGCTGCGCTGCATTCATCTTTTGCAATTCCGTCATCACCAACTGACAGCGTACAGCCTTACTGTTCATCTGCCCGCAAGAGTTTTCACCATTGCCCAATTCGGTCAGCCGAATAATCGACCAACATTCAACGGCCAAGATCGATTGCGATCGCTTCGACAACTTCCGACCATCCGATCATTCCTCAAGATTTACGGCCACGATTACTTTCGATATTTCAGGACAAGTGTCATGATGACAAGCCGGTGGGAATGCCACGTTCTACAGCCTCTACCATCCGGCATTATCCTACCAAATTAACGTCATCATCAGCCGTTTGATATGGAGGTATCCATCATATCAACCTCGACAGTTTCGCCACCGACATTGCTGATGAAATAAATCGTCTGATGTTGTAAAAGACTAAGTATAAAATAGTAAACATGAACACTTGGCAAATCCTCAAGTGTTGGTCCAGGATCTTTGCTGGAATGGTAGACTAGTAAGACAGCGGAAGTCTTGTAAAATGTGATAGTCAAGGTTGAATAACCTGAGTACGTGAACTTGTGTGTAATCAAATTTAAAAATGAAAAGACCTAACAAGTATTTATAGTTCTACGAAAAGTACCTATTCGCTAATGTACCTGTTCGTCACTATCGGGCTATGCGCCCTAGACGACAATGAAGAGGTGCGAATGTTCGTGTAACTGAAACGACTGTCCTATGACGAGCGCTATTTGCTGACGTCATCCTACGAACTTATCTTCTACAGTATGATTCGACACTAACTACACTTCATCGACTTACAAAAATGCTAAGTATCAATTATATCACAACACTTCCCTTCATTTCTGGAAGTTCGATAGTGTCACTTCTTGAAGATTCCGCAGAGCTTGTTACAGTACTGAAACTTATGTCGTGTCTGCTTCTTCGTGAGAAAATCGGCAGCCATTTTGTTGGTCGAACAGTAGACCAATCGCATCCTCCCCTTCTCGACTTCATCTTTGACGAAAAAATAACGAAGAAAATATGCTTCGTCCTGTTGACGAAACCAGGTTGATGTGCGATGCGAATTGCACTTTGATTGTCGCACTGTACGGTAAACTGGGTAGTTGTCGTCAACTTTGCTTCTTCCAATAGTTCCTGTAAGTAAAGTCCTTTGCGTGTTGCTGTGCGGACAGCAATAAACTCAGCTTTAGCAGAGGAGAGGGCAATCAACTCCTGCTTCGTCGAATTCTAAGAGATAGGCCCGATAGGTTCAAGTCGATAGATAAATCCAGTGCGTGACTATCGATTAGTAGAATCAGCAGCGTGATCGGCGTCGACAAAACCATGTAGGTAGAGTGTTTTACAACCGATGACGTTGTAGACTAGACCAACGTCAGGTGTCGAGATGAAATACTGAAGTGCGCGGAGAAGATCAAGCTGATGCTCTTCCTCAGGACGACGTAGGAACTGAGCGAGCTGACTGGCCGCGTAGACTACATCAGGACAACAAGTGACAGCGGCGAAGAGTAGACAGCCTAACTGCTGTTGATAGATCTGTAAACCGGTT